TCTGGCCCCTTCACGCAGCAGCCGCCACAGACAAAACCAGACGCTCAGAGCAATGCCGAGTGCAGGCGCCATTGAAACCATCTACCAAGAGACAGAGGGCCAGGTTCTCAGGCAAACTGCCCCGGAGCCTGGGCAGAAACTGGCAGATGGGGGGGGGGCATTTGTTTCCGGCTCCTACTCCCTTCCGGGGACAGAGAAGGAAAGCAGCCAAGCCCGGCATCTGCCCCCCGCCCCCGCCCCTCTAGGGCAGGAAAGGCAGGGCCCTGGAACCTGTGGGTGACCCTGGGCCACCCTGCTGGCAGTGTGCACAGCACGCAGGCCCAGGAGCAGGCGGCCTGAGAGGGCAGGTCTGTGGCGAGGGGCCGGGGGGTTCCTGGGGGAGAATGAGAGCCGCCCAGCAAACAGCAGGTGTCCTGAGGGGAGGCTTCTGTAGGGAAAAGATGCCACAGGGATGGCTGTGTCCTTGGGGGGCCAGTGTCCCCGGGTCCCCGAGACCCAGGTGGCGGCCATGCCCCACACACTGTCTGACCTTCCACGGCTTGGCTCAAGTCGGGGGAGGGGGGAGGGTACCCCCAGGCCCCGGTAAGCGGAGGCCGGAAGCATGGCACCTCTGTGCCTCACCCTCTGCTGTCCCTCTGAGTACAGCTCAGAGCCCCAGGGACAAGGAGAAATGGCCTGGGTGGTATCTGGTCGTGTGTCACCTGATCAGCCTTCTTAGGGTGACAGGCCAGCAGGATGCCTGTCCCCAGCTGACTTCAGGCCAGGCCCCACTCGCTCAAAGGAGAAAAATGGGGTCGCCCGCCCCTCCTCCTTTGGGATGGACCTGAGGGGACCTACTGGTCTTTCCCCAGCCCTGCCATCTGTCCCACAAGGCGGCCGGGGCCCACACATCTGGAGACATCACGGCACCTTCATTCCAATTGCCCCTCTGCCCTCCTTGGGTATACGTTTCCCGTGGAAGCCACAATGAGGGGCCATAAGGGGCCTCCAGACCCACAGGGGCCTCCACCTCGGACTGGATCCTCCTAAGAGACCTGGTTGAGGGCTGGGGCAGACAAAGAAGGGCCCGAGCTTGTACCACAGTGTCCTCCTGTCTCCTCTTCAGGCTACACATGGAGACCCGGTCACACTCAGGCAGGGTGGGGGCCGCTGCCCAGGACCACTGACTCACAGAGGTTGCCCCAGGCCCTCACTGGACACTGACCGGCACCCTGCAGCCCTGGGCACAGGAGGCGCCTGCCAGACCCCAGGGCACTGCCTCTCGTGAAAGGCTCTGACTTCCAGCTCTGCTGAGCCTCTCTGGCCCTGGCCTCAGTGAGCTCATCTGTGAAATGGGAAAAAGAGCAGCAGCTTCCTACAGGGCAAGAGTGGGTGTTAAGAAAATGCACGCAGCATGCCCAGCTCGGCGCCTGGCCCGTGAAAGCTCCCAGGAA